CCGCTCGATTACAATTTAAACTTGTTTAGAAATTGAACCATATGAATTCCTTGTTCGAAGTTCCTTAGATATGCATTGACGTCATCTCCATCCACATCCCTCGATTTCTTCTTTCTCGATTCGGCATTTTGGAAATGTGAAAGACTTGAATTCACAATTTTTTGCTGTATGACTCAGCTCTTTCAAGCCTCAGGGTATTTTCCTGATTTGGTAATCCTCGGCTGTAACACCCCCTCCGTTTGCTGACTCATATGGTCCTGATCTGATGAAACACCAAACAGATACATTTATTTGATGGTCATGGTGTCCCTGTTTTCGTTGGATGAAAAAGAGCACGTAGCGAACTTTTTGAAGGAAATAGGAGTCATCGAAAACTTACAAGTCTGAACCTTTACAGCTTCAACCTCAGAAGTTACAGTCACAAACCTCAAAAAGTGGAACTTTACAAGTTTCAGTGACAATCTCTTCACCTACACATTGGCTGATGACTCGAAATACTTCTACATGACAACAGACCGCGATTCAAGCGATTCTTACGTCGGAGTGCTCCGAGTAAAGAGAGTAAGTTATTTTACAGTAGTTGCTGATGATCTTTTGATTTTTGTATAATGTAATGAAATTTCAGCGGGTTTGGCTTATGAATCGAAGAGTTTTTTGTAGAGCTTTGCATGCTTGGTGTTGTGTTAGTGAATCACCTTCAGTCACTGGCACATCAGAAAATCGCACTTCAACTTTGAATCCTGTTTTATGGCTGATCTGAGCTTTCAGAACTTATGCGACCATGATCTTCCAGAATTCCGACTCTTTTGGTTGAAATGTTCAAGTTAATTAACAGTTATTATTTTCACTTTAATCTCACGAAATTTTCAGTTTGAAGCAGCTTATACTACAATTAGCAGCGTCTCCATTTTACTCCCCCTCCTTCCTCTTCTTTCTGCCCTTTTCATGGCCAGGCCTGTGAGGTAATTACGGCTTCGTGGACTTTAAATCCCTCAAAGATTCAGCATTTGAAGCTTCGACGAATTAAACACGCTATTCCATCCTTGGCGGAGGATTTCACAGCCCATTTACTGGACTCGTTATATGTTGGAGGCGGACTTTTTTTCATCTGCTTCTGCTTGTAGGCGCAACATCTAGCCCGACCACTTAGAGGATTCACAGTGACTA